AACTAATTCTTTTATAATTCAATACTATTCTGTAATTGAGATAGTGGCAGTGATATTTGTCGTCAAAATTTTAAAAACATTACTATGGACACAAACCATTTTTATAATTTATTTTGGGTTTGAAATAACAATATCTAACTTGTTCCGAAAATATTTATCCTGCTATCATCACTTAGGACATTTTAATTTTTTAACATCACAGATGGAATCTTTATCATATTAAGAGATGTCAGAAAACCCTGGTATCGAATGAAAAAATTTTGCAATATGAAAGGATTCTAAATTTAATCAAAACATAATTTGATTTATTTTAAAAACGAAAACTATATAAAGCTAATTCTGTCAATTAATAATTTGAAGTGTCAAAGGGAAAATGAATTTTTAGCTCGTTTAACTCTGAGATAACAAACGCCCGTAGTTGTTTAGCTCGTAATTTCAATATTCTTGTAATTTTTATAATTATTCGTCATCGTTTTTGTTTGTCACATCAACTAAATGTCAACTGTAAGACCGTAAAAAGTTATGTACATTCAAACTTTAATTATAAATATTATTCAAACTAAATATGGTTAAAATTAAAAAAAAAAAAAACAGAAAAACAATATTAAAAATTTATAAAAAATTAATGCTTATTTTAATTATAACTTTCGGTCTTAGATTGTGTACACTTCTAAATAAAATTTACAGCAGACAAACTAAATAAATTTTTTAAAAGTAAAAAAAATTTCTGATTTCTTAATTTTAAAAATAAGCCAAAAACAGAAGAAAAAATAAAGTGAAAGAAAATTATTTGCTTTTATATGCACTGAAAATTTTTTCAGTTTTAAAATACACAAACACGATCAAAATATAAAATGATGATGATGACCATCAACATCGTTATCAACAACGTTAGTATGTATTACAACTATTATATGTAGTAAAAAAATATTTCAGGTATGACTATTCGTGAAAAATAAAATATAAAAGTAATGTTCATTATTTAGCATAATAATATGTAAATATGTATAAGAATAAGTATAAAAAAAGAAAAACAGAGAATTTTATAAATATGTGCACACATAAAGCTGTACATACTACCATGCATATGTGCACATGTGAAATAGTGAATAAATTTTTTTTTACCCTCTATATAGTTTTCTTTTTTAATAGACGAACCATGCTATATAAATGGTATAATAATGGTAAACTTACTACCATATTCAAGGAAAATTTCAAAATAAAATAAAAATCTAAACAAGTAAATTGTAGCATATGGATTGTTAATATTATATATAAAAGTGTGTATAAATGATTATGATGATCCGACGACGAAGGAAATCATAGAGTGGAACGAGGAACAATATTAAAATATAAAAGTAATGATCATGGAAGCGGAACCATAGCACTGTTAAAATTGTTAAAAAAAAAAAAAACAAAAAATTGTTGTTTAATTTTTTTTTTTGCTTATGGGTTTGAGGAGTTATTTTTTTTTTTTTTTGTTAGTTTTACATTGCATTTTTCCATCTGCTTTTTTTTCTTTTTTAATAAATTATAAAATTTTTCAAAATTTTTTTTACTCTATACAATTTTATTACCATATTTTTTTTTTGTGTGTTTGAGGAGCGATTCTTGTTTATTTGAATATTTTTTATTTTCAACTACGTAAACAAATTTGCTATGACTAATAATATTCATTTATTTTATTATTTAAATTTTTGGAAAGTAAACTAGATATTAATTAATTAATTAAACTTTAAAAAAAATTTTGTCTGGAGGTCTGTACAACCATATTAGCAAATAACAATTACTTAAACATTGTACGCTACTAAATATCAAATGAGTTCCTCAAATAATTTCTTGCACTAATTCAGAATTCTAAAGAACTTTTAAAACAAAAAATGAGTTTTGTTGCGAAAAAAATAATTATTCGATAAATAGAGAACGATTTTATTACGTTAAATAGAAAGTGTTTGTTATATTATAGAAAATGTGTTGCATACTGTAATACTTTACAATTTGCATATTTCAAACAGCATCGAAAATTATCATCTAAAATTAAATAATTTAATCATCGAGAGAACATGATTTTCTATTAAAATATGGTACGGTTATAGATAAGACCAATAACTTTATATTAAAATAAAATAAAAATTCGTTTATATTCTAATATAAAAATTAATTTTAATTAAATTGATAATTCATTTAACGAATTAACACTTAACATTTTGTTATTTATATAATTACTCATATACTTATACATACATACATATTTTTATTTAATTGTTATTTTATGCTAACTATTTGAAACAAAAAGATAAAAATTAACATTTTTGTTCAAATGTTAAGAATTTTTCGAACAAGTATAGGTATACAGTCGAACATGTTTGATTACAACACTTATATGTATATTGTTTTGACACATATTGTTTTCACACATGTAATTTCTCTAACTCTTTATACATATTTGTAACACTTAACTATAACTCTCTTTCATACAAATATTTTTGCTACAACACAAATTAAATTTTTGTTTTACTTGTAATAAATTTAATATAAAACTTAAATAAAATTAAGAATTTTTTAACAATCTGACTTTAAATATTAAAAATGTACATTGATATTCAATATTAAAAAGGCTCAGGGTTTGAAATTTTTATGAAACTGATTATAAAAATTACAATCAGTTTGATAAAAGTTTCAAACCGTTTGATTACTTAATTTCTAGCGATTATACAGTTGAATGTTGGCTTGCTTGAATATAAATCTATTTATCTTAAATACAAATAAGCAGTCAAACAGTTGCAAAACTGAAAATTGCGTGTCGGCCTGCGCTCTAGAGCGTCTCTAATACGTACATTTTATGCCCAAAAAGCTTTTCTTAGAAGTATGTTCAACTGTTTTTGTTTAATATGTAGAAATAAAAATTTCATTAGAAAAAATTGTTTGTTATACGCTTATATAGCAAAAACATTTTGTTAAACATTTCAAACTCTTAAAAATGGATACAGTAAATTTAATATATTAATTAAATATAATGAAATTGCGGTCTCTACTTGATGTGTCTTCATATTATTTATTTGTCAAAAATAGCTTTAAGGCATTAAACTTAATATTATTTCTAAGAAATCCAAAAAAAAAAACAAATGTAATCTTTTATAATGAGATTTTAATAAACACAAAAAAAAGCGAAAAACAAAAAAAAAAGTTTAATATAGTTTAATATTTTACTTTTGCTTTGTTACTGTTATTTTCATTTTTATATTTAAATGTATAATAGCTATGTTAGTTCTAGTCTAAATATAAAATTGTAAATCTATATAATACACTCTATATACCATTATAACAAGTAACATAAATGTGACAAAAATTTACTTAAACTTTTTGTATTTTACATACAATGTCACACTTTATGTATAAAATATATTTATTACTTTTTGGAACGTAACTTAGGAAAAAAAAAAATATTTCATCATCATATTTTTTAAATAATAATGCAATTAAAAAAAATTACTTTAGTTATTATGTAATTATTGACATATAAAACTTTGTCAACAAAAAAAAAAAAAATTATAAAAAAAAAATTTGAAAAATAGCGTGCATTAAAGTAATAATAACTTTGCAAGTCCGGGGTATACCACACATCATTTGCGTTTAATGCGTACATTAATGAGTAAATATTTTTAATATATAAAATTTACATTAAAATCTCAGGGCTATACATACATACATACATACTTATATAATATTCGTAAAAGTTACTTATACCGTTATTCAAGTATTCAAGTAATGTAGAAAGTAATCCCCTATAATATTGAAAAAATTTTATACGTACCTATGTATAACTTTATAAAAAATATGAGTAACTTGTGGTGTCATATAACTGTTGCTTAAATGACCATTTATAAAAATTTTATTTTCTTTAATAATATTTTTTCACTTTAATTTTATTACACACATTTTTCATGTTCACTTTTAATTTTAAACTAAAAATACAACAATGCAATCCCCAAAACGTAAAATTCCTTGAAAAATCAACCCTTAAAACAAATCAAAAGAAAAAGAAATGAGCAAGAGTCGATATTTATTAATTATGAGAGATTAATTTACTTTTCGGCTAAAAAAAAAAAGCAAAATATAATCAAAACAAAACTAGTGTCATGAAATTTTAGACATTTGTACTTGTAGTACAACATAATGTGAAATACAAAAACAATACCAATTTAAGAGTACCATGTCATTATGGCACAAGTCAAAAGAGCTTTATTTTACATGTCACATTGCATAGAACTGCATACTCACATATATATATATTATATTCAACTACATATGTATATACAGTGCAAGAATTTTTATGACTTATTATACAATGTATACGCATAAATTAACAAAACAAAGCGTAATATGTATAAAGAATTTATAAAAAAAAAAAGAGTCGATTGTGCCAAATGGTGCAAATATTAATGAATAAGGAAAATACAAGGAAGGGTCATTCTACGTTTTACATTATTTTCTTGGGTATCTTTTTAGGTTTCCTTTAAGTTCATATTACATTAAAAAAAAAATTCTTTTCTTCCTCCTTATTTTTTTCTTTTTAATTATAAGTTCCTGATTGAAATTCGAGAAAAATTTTTTGAATTTTTATTTTCTTTTTTAATTTTTAAAACTTAAAGACCAATAATTTATGTACATACCTTTAAAAACAATTTAAAGGAAAGAGAATTTTTCGTTTGTTGTTTTGTTTTTACTGTTTTCCCTTTTTTCTCTCTCTTGTATACGATAATGTGCTTAAGTTCCGATTATTAAAATTTTTGTGGTTATGTATGATTTGATTTTGTTATTATTTTTCACAATAGTGAAAATTTTTGTTATTAAATTTCAATAAAGGGTTTTATTTAGCTGAGTATAAATAAGAATAATTAAATAATAAGAAAATATAAGATTTTAAAAAATAATTTTTAAAAATTAATTTTTTTTTTTTGATTTTATTATTAATGGCATTTATTTTTTTTTTCTTTCAGGTGTTATCACAGTTGAAATCACAAATTTTCATGTACCTGAACATATAGTGATTACAGATGAAACACCAGATGATATAAAATTAGATTGCGAATATGAATTAGAAGATGGTGAAACGAATTTAGTTGTTAAATGGCTTAAAGATTCAGAAATAATATATCAATGGATACAAGGGCGTCCACCAAAAGCTTTTGTAAGTTATTATTTTAAATTAATTTTAAATTTATCAAGTAAAAATTTGTTGATAGTTTCATTGGCAAGTGAACAACATCCGAACGGCAAAATCAATTGTACAGTATTTTGCATATAATATCACACAAACATGGAAAGAGATATTGTAAAAAAAACCGGAAGTGGTAAAATAGGAATTTATACCATTTTACCGTCGTCGGTTCAATCCACGGCGGCATTTCGCTTGTTTATGAGCAGTCTCACTTAAATTTCTGTTCTTTATGAATTCTGACTCTTTTCATTAAATTTATTTATTCTATATGGATTCTGACATTTCGCAGCAGAAAATCGATCATTTTCTCTTTCCAACTTGAATGGGGGGAAATATTTGAACTAAAACTTTTTTATGTAAGAAAACAAAACTTATAATTAATTTTAATTGTCACAATATGTCATTTTAAGAAATTGACAGTTCTCTAATAAAATTTTTAAATTTAAACAGACAAAAGAGGTTTAATAAAATGAAATTTAAAATGAAATATTCAAAATAAAAAATATTTTCAATTCTACACTTAAATATTAATTATTTTTCAATAAAATTTGTTTTTTTAAAGAAATTTCTTGCATGCATACTTAAATTTTCTATAAAATTAATATTTTATTTTGTCATTATTTTAGCCAAATGTAAGAATGGAAATCGATGAAGGATATGAAGCATCAGATGATGAATTACAAAAATATAGAGCATTGGTTATTAAAAATCCACATTGGAATGTTACAGGCAAATATAAATGTTTAGTACAAACAAAACAATCAGCTAGTAAAATGGAAAGTCATTTACAAGTGATTGATGTCAGCAATTTAACATTTTCTTTAATCGAAGAAGATGATGATGAAGAAGATGAAGATGTAGAAATAAAATGTTCTGTTGAAAATATATTTCCACAACCAAAATTAAGAATAAAGTAAGAATAATGAAAATATATTTTATAATTAATATAATAATAAGGTTGTCATTGTAAAAAATCGTAAAATTTTAAATATTTGCTTTTTGTTTTAGGAATGGTGAAGAAAACGTACATATAAAATCAGAAGAATTTAGTAGAAAAAATAATGGGTATTATGATGTTTCAGCTGTTGGTATTTTAAAACATACTGAAAGAGGTGATAATGGATTCTCATGTTCACTATATGTTCCAGGCAGTAATTTTACATATGTTCAGACAACAAGTTCTGGTAAAATTTAAATTAAAAAATAAAATCATTTTAGATTTTTGCACTTTAGGTTAAATTTAATTTTTCTTTCTAAATTATGTATGTATATAGACCAACAAGATTCATTTGCTGTTCGACATTCTATTAATCAAATGATAAATTGTGTACAATTTATCATTTTAATTTTACAGTATACGTACGTTATGTGTTAGTTACACTTACTCAAATAATATGATTTTAGGCATTATGAAAAGTAAGTTTTGAAATTTTTTTTTAAATATGTGTGGGATCAAAGAGCTTCCTTCCTTCATACATATTTATCACATACATAAGAGACCTTAAATTTTTACGAAATTTCCGCTTTTCCAGTTTTAGAATATATAATTAGTTTGTAAAGGTAGAAAATTTACCTATTTAAAATCATATTTGTTTTTTTTTTAGTTTGTAAAAATTATCCTCATCCATTTTCCAGTTGATTTTTTTTAATTTTTTTTTATATACATTCTTAAGATTGAATTCCAAAAACTTTTCATATTGTAACATAGATTTTAAAGTAAATATGAAAGTTGATAAAATTTATTCATATATAATTAAGCAATTCACCTTGTACAGATTTCGTGAAGCTCTATGCATTTATTCATTAATTTTGACTTAGTACATATGACAAAATTTCATGTAGTAAAAATCTTTATTCCTAAAAGATATTAAATTTCAGTCCGCTTATTTTAAATCCCTGTCTTATACCTTTATATTTACACTTAATAATACCTCTGCTGTTATTTATTTGGTTTTTCAGCAAAATGTTTATCGATTGGTCAAATTCTAAAATGTAAATGGTTAGTCGTAGTCCTTTATATCGTAGCATTTAGAATCTACTTATATTCTTCATGGAAACGATTTTAAAGAATTACCTAGTGAGTTTTTAAATTAAGGCATTAAATTATAAAAAGTAATTAATGATTTTATTAGAGTTTGACCATTCGATAAACAAGAATCCTCTTAAAAATAAATTTCAAAAATTTCGAATTCGCAAAATAAAGAATAATTACTAATAATTTAAAAATTTTATTAATTTTATATTTATTTAATAATAATTATACGAATTATTTTTTTTCTTTTCATTTTAGGAAACACATTCAAATATTTTAGTTCATTATTGCCTGTGTCAATAGGTTTCCTCATTGTTACATTTTGTACATAATTAATTTATAAAACTATAAAAAAAAAACTCAAAAAAAAAAAAATTAAGTCAATATTTCATTTTGTTATTTATTTACTTCCTAAAACATTAATAATACGCATACATATACATATTTCATATAAAATTCTTAATAAAATTACAAAAAAAAAAATCAGTACATATGCAGTGAAATTTTATTAAATATTTGATTTTAAAACGGATATAAAAGGATTCTTTAGTTACGATCATCAGCCGTCATTATGCGAGTTACTTAAAACCATAATAGATATGCTGGAAATTAAATGGAAATCTGCGGTTTATTATTTTTATTTTTAAAGATTTTGTAATTAATAATTGTGTAAAATTTTGCAATAACATGAAATTTATTTTTTTTTTGTAAGCTATTTTCTAAAGCTAATACTCAAAAACTTAAATTAAAAATAATTTTATAATAAATTTAAAATAAAAATGTATTAATATTTTTGTTAAATTCACAATATTATTTTCATTTTCAAAATTATTAATCTTTAATTAAGAAAATTATTAATATTGTCTTAGTTTAAATTTTATATAATTACCAATAGTTTGTAATATACAAAAACTAAAATTTCACTGCATATTTTTTGAAACAAAATGTATTAAATAGCAAAATTATGTAAAAAGTTTCTGTTTTTTACTTTCATTTTAAATAATTTAATTAAACTTGTTAATAATTTCTAAAACATATATAAATACATAATATTGAAATAGAAAAAATAAACTAAAAACAACAAAAAAAAAACTTAAATTAAAATTAATTAATTCACTTAATTTTATTAAGTTAAAATTAAAAAAAAAATTAAAAAACCCATATAGTTTTTAAAAAATTTCTACTATAAATTTTCTAAATTTAATCAAATTCAAAAAATAATATTATTTTTTTATTTTAAATTTTTAAATTTGTATACAAATTCGATAATGAAATAATTTTGTTTTTTAATTTCAAAGAAAATTTCAAAATTTTTATTTTAGTTTTCCATATAGAATCAGATAAATCAAACTTAATAATAAGAATATTAAAAATAATTTTGTAATAAAAATAAAACAATATTAAGAAAATTTTTGAGCTCAAAAATAAATTTTCCTTAAGAAAATTATCAATATTTACAGATTTCTTTAATAACAAATTTCGATTAAGAAATTAATTAAGAAAACAAATTAGGAAATTAATATTTAAAATCAATCTGAAAAAAAAAATATATAAAAAAAAATTCATGTACAAAATTAATTTAAAAATTTATTCTTCTAATTTTATCAAATTTAAATAAAGACCAATGTAAAAATAAAACATTTATATAAAATAAGTAATTACTTCTCAACTCGTCAAAAAAAACAAAATTTTAAAATTTATATATGCAAATTTTCAAAAATTATAATTAAAAGCAAGGCCCTATGTTCAAGGCCTTATAAATAAATACAAATATAAAGTTTTATTTTAAATTATGGGCTCACTTTTCTAATATATTAAAAAATGCATATAAATATATATATATATATATATATGTATATATATACTACCAAAGAAAATTGTTTGTTTCATATTGATACGAATAAAAAAAAATTTATAATAGAAAATTTCATTTTAATAATATAATGATTAAAGAAAATAGAGAAAAGAAAAAATAATAAATAAAAAATCAAATTAATATTGTAAAAAAAAAAATAAAATTTAAAAAATGTTTGTACATATGTATTTGTTATAAATATATTAACGGAAATATATTTTACTATGATTTATAGTAAAAAAAAAATTGTTTTTTATTTTTATAATCAAATGTAACTTTTTTAATAAAAGTTGGCATTTTTTATACATTTTTTACTTAATATTTATTAAATAGTTAGCAAAATTATAATTTAAAACTTATTATTAATTTTTTTTTCAAGCCACATTTGATAACCATAACCAATACCATGGAAATCGTAGTAGCAATAATCATATAATTATAGCAAGGAGCGTAATATCAAGTCCTCGAGATTCGACATCTTTTGTCCCAGAAAATTATGCTGTAACTCCAATTGTTGTCTTCCCTAGGGAATAAAAAAAAGAAATTTATGAAAAGAAAAAGTTTTATCGTTTAACTAAATTCACTATAGATTTTTATTAAAAAATCAATAAAATCTAAAAAAATTCTTAATGTCGTATAAGGAATAATGTCACAAGTTGAATAAATACTGCACAAATACCGTATTAGAAGATGTCGAATCTGAAGGACTTATTGTACTATACTTCATTTATTAAAATTTGAATTAATTAAAAATTTTAGAGCCAGAATTACACTAAAAGTAAAAATAATTTTTTCTGAAAAATTCTTAAAAAAATTATGTATAGCAAATTTACTTTTAAGCTTTTAAAATAATATTTCATTTCACCAATACTCTAAAAAATTAATTGCATATATTTAGGATGAATCAATCAAATTTACTGAAGTGTTAAATAATGTAGTTAATGTAGTAAGGTAATGTAGTTTGTTAACATTTGAAACTTTTCAAAATTATATTTGTATACACCAGATAGCTAGGCTATGCAATATATTTGCTCCATTGCTTAATTCCTTAAAGGTTTATTTAGGATACTGTTCTAAAGATAACAATTTTTCAATTAAAATTAACATAATATAATCAATTAATTTCATCATTCTTTACCTTACTTACCTACATATAATAAATTACATATAAAATAAATTAAATTACATATTAAAAATTTTGTAAGCTAAAAGCTAGATAAGACCAGTTTAAATATCAAAATTCTATAAATAGAATAATAGAAAAAATCTGTTACATAATTAATTTAAAATTCAAATTTAATTTCTAGTTGAATTGAATGAAATTAAATAAAAAAAAATATTTAAAATATTTTTATTACTTAAATAATATTTATCTAAGATTTGAAATATTTGCATACTCGTATATGCATAAAGAAATATTATTTACGATAACAGGAAATTTTATGCAGAATTTTTTATTTTTATAAAATTGCAATATTTATTTACATTTTTACGATTATTACATTTTGTAACTCGAAAAGCTAATTAGTATACAGTATTTAGGTATATTGTGTAGGTGTTATTCTGAGTAAGTATATAATTATTCTATTTATTATTATTTAAGTTAATATATATTTATTATTTATTTATATTATATATTATTTTAATACACGTTTAATTTATGCATTTAACCCGTACCAGTATGAGGATTAAAACTTGGAGTATATTTGTCTAATTCTATTGTGAAGTAATTGAATATTAATATTGAATATTGTGAATTAAAAATTGTTTTATTTTGATAATCGATATAAATTGAAATTCAATTATTGGTAATTATATAACGATTTTGAATTGATATACAAAATCATGTATCAACTATAATATTCACTCCAAAAACAACAACTCTATCAAGCAGCAAGCGGCTAAAAAAACTTCCAAAGCATTTTTCTAAATAGACAATATTAAAATTATTAAACTTAAAAAGAAACCTTTAAAACCACATGTAAATTACTCAAAATTTTGCTATATAATTTTTTTTTTCAATTATATTGAATAGAATTATGTAGAAATTCTTATCACAATACCATTTAGTAAAAAAATTATTATCAAATTAATTAATTATTTTAATTTATTTAAATTCTTATTTATTTCTTTAGACGTACACATGAGTGAATCAAACCATTGTTATACAAAAAAAAAAAAAAAATGTACCAAAATTTTTCATTGATATTTTTTTTTTATATAAAAATATTCTTATCATCTCCTTCATTTGTTCGTTATTTAAAGAAGTAGAACATACTATGTATTATAATTGAATTTACTTTTTAAATATTATTCTTATTAGATCTGCCTCTACAGAGTCCATATGCGCATAATTATACAATGTAGTTTTACTTAGTCATTACCCCCAATTTAAATATTGTTTATACCCCAACTGGATGAGAATGAAATTTTAATTATTTTTTTAATGATTAAATTAATTTATTTATTTTAATTTAATTTATTATTAATTCAAAAATATTTTATTAAGCCAATTAAAATTATTTTTAATCTGTATAATGCTTTAGTTCGTAATAAAATGCGTGGTTCACGCAACGTGACGAGATTTTTGCATTCTACTCTTTATATGAAGGTTTTTTTGAGCGAAAAACCCTTATTCACGTAATTAAAAATCAATAAAAAAATTTTAGTCAATATGAAACAACAGATAACTCTTTAGAGTTCTAGATAATTTAATTATATTTAAAGAAAAACTTAACCTTTGTTTGATTAATTGCGGTTCATAGAATTTAAAATACTTTTTATTTGACAGAAAAACTAAAATTCCGCGGTTCCTAAAATAAAATTTTTGTATTGAAACGCGGAAAAATTTGTCAAACGCGTCACCTAGAAGAAATATTTGTAAATTTTGGAATTTTTCATATATTTGCAAAGTGTCAATGCCGGAAACTGTCATAAAATATCATTATTAATTTATTGTTTATTTCATTATTATATTTTGGCGGCTATTACATATTATATTTTTCCAAATTAAGGAGGCCACACGTAAAATCGTAATTTAATTATATAATAATAATCGTAAGATTTTGTATGTCAAAAACATTTAATCATTATTCTGTATTTCAGAAATAATAATGAAATACACAATTAATTTTCAATTTGTAAATCCCGGAAAATTATCTGAGCTGAAAAAAAAATTCAGTACCTTGCATTTCTATAGCTTTGACAAATTTTACTGTTCACGTAATAAATATGTTCTATCACTTGTTAGAGAACACCTGACTTATAGCTGAATTAAACGGCTCGTCGGATTCGCGACAATCTTATGTATTTTGTATGAGAGCAGAGGGTTTAATGCAAAGAAGTTTTTCTTAAAACGGCAATTTTATTATTGGCTTATATACATATAATATGTCGTGCGTCTACATTTACATACTGTTCTTGTCCGGAAAAAATGTCAAATCTCTCAGTTTAAAAAGAATTAATCTTTCAGTATGAATACTGATCTGTAATGATTGGAAATTTTTAGTATATGTAGATTAGTACGCTTATATTTGCATATATTTTTATAGAATAATAAATAAATTTCAATTAATAAACTTGTTATCAAGTAATAAGAAAATTTCTAATTTGTGACCTTGAAAATTTGACACAAAGCAAAAAATTAAGCTTATTGAACTTCAATATGTTCTTGTACACATAAACATTTTTTCGCAAAAATTTAAAATATTCATTTTTGAGTACAAATTTTATTTTGATATTTAAACTTAAATGCCTCCTTCTAATACTTAATGGCCTTCTTTATTCACAATCTTTGCTTAGAACACAAATATTATCAATATAAAATTATCATTATTAAATTATCACTACCTACTATGCATGATAAAATAATTGTAAGATAATTTAGTGTTATTACTGTTATTGCCATTTATGATAAGAACACCAAAAAATAAACAATAGCAAATAACTAATTATCAATTAAAATCAATACCTAATAATAATTAAAACAGTAGTATGAATGTACAAAGCGGCAGTAAAATATGTGTATTAGATAAAACAAAGTGAAAAAAGAAATAATTACTTGTACGAGTGTGCATGCATAATTGCAAAATAAATAAAAATCGTATCTTTCTTTTGTTTTAAATGTGTGCAACAGTAATATTTGTGCAAGTAAAAAATGTGTGCAAGTAAAAATTTGTACAAGTAAATATTTTAAATTTGCGTTTTTTTTTTTCTAATTTATTTAATTGTATGTCAATGTCGGTCACGGTTCTACATTATACACATACATATTATTTACATCGCAATCATATAATACATATGTACATCATATATCATAATAATATAATGTAATATAAAAGTAAAAACAAGAGAGAACAATAAGCGAAATTAAATTGTGTATAGCTAGTAAATAAAAAATCAATTTGATTCTTTTAATTTTTATTTTTATTTATTTAAATTGCATTTAATATGTAGATAGAATAAAAAAACTTTCTTAAATAGTATAAGAATTAAATTTTCGCATTAAAATATTTATTCTTTAAAATTCAGATATAAAATATAATAGTCGTGTATATTGCTACATATACTTACTTTTATACGTATAACAATATTTTTATAAATATTATTATCAAAGTGTTAATTTGAATATTACAAAACAATAATTAATTAGTTTAAAAAATTTACAAAATTTGAAAATGCAGTCGCAGTTTTAAAAGTTTTAATGTCTTAAATATTTAAATTGTAAGTAATTGTGGTATATAAACTTGGTACACTTGCTTGATGTAGTAGCTATAAAATTATAGAACTGAAAAATTGGAAATTTTTAAGTGAGTTATTAATGCAAATAGAAGACAATTTTTGGATAATGCAATTCTAACTTAGGTCTTAATACAAAATACGTTCGATAAATGCAAACTGCTAAATCTGTAAAAATATGGCATATTCGAAAATGACAGTGTTATACTTAAAGTTCTTAAAAGGAATTTTTAAGTATTTTTTATAATTGCTGCAAAAATATTATAAATTAGAAATAATAAGAGAAGAATATAAAAAATATTGCATATTGAAGAATTATTCGAGTATACGAGAATTATAAATCGGCAAATGCAAAATATTCATTTTCTGCATGGATTTGTAAGTATTGTGTGAAAAGACTTTTTACGATTTAATTTAGAATTTTTATTACATTTAAGTATGAATTATTGATAATTCCAGAAATTGATTCAAATTTCGTGTTATTAGTGCCAACATTCAGTATGAAAATGTTCAGTAATTATAAAGGTTTTATATAGTTAATTAATAAATATAGTACTTGAAATGTATAACACAATCAATAATATTACAATGATTGATTTTCATTCTACCACCTCTAATTCGAGAAGAAAATTTACTTTTTATGTTGATTTCACATTATCATAATTATTATTATTGTCATTTACGATAATCAATTATATTTTTGTATTTACCTATCCCTGCAATAAATTATGATAAATAAGAAATCTATATAAGAATACTTGTTATACTTACATATTATGTATAAGAGTACAATACATAATCTCCAAAAAATATATTTGTATCATAATATACGAAATACTATCATATATAATAATATATATATATATATATATATATATATATATATTATATATATATATATATATATATATATATATATTATTATATATATGTTATTATATTATTATATATATATATATATATTATATATATATATTTTAATAATTTTAAATATTTCACTGGATAAATAATCTTCTATAAACTTTAACTGATTGCAATAATAAATATAAAAAAAATATAAAAGAGATTATTATTATTGTGATAAAAACTACTTTTCTTACTGCACTGAAAAAAAATATGACTGCCGTTGCTATAATTTATGTACAATTTTTACCATATACATAGGATATTTTGGGATAGTGGAATTGTATAGCTGTATTTGCTATATTTTTATAGCAAATAATTTCCATACAAAATAGCCACATTTACTAAAAATATAGTATATTTTCCTATATTAAATGTTCATATATCTAATACACCTTAGCATTATTTACTATGTATAACAGTATTATGTGCTATAAGAAATAGTAAATAATGCTATAAATATTGCAATATTAAATATAAATATATTGTAAAATATCATATAAATTTAGCAAACAATGTCATGTACGATATGCAAAACTCACATCAAATATAGCAGTTTTCGTTATTAACAATTGTAGTAATTGCTATGAATATTGTAAATTGTACAATGGGAAATGTGCATTGGTTATATGTGTACAAGGGTAAAATATGAAAAATATTACCATCTTTACTATAATAAATAGTACAAGTTCTTAAAAAAATATGAATACTTACCATAAATATAGCAGATATTGTCATACAAAATAACGAAAGTTTTAATAAACATAGCGCTTGTTGTTACACGTAATTGCAATGATTACTATAAATATAGCTAATTTTGTTATACCTCATGTATTTTATTAATTTGCATTATAGTATAAAATGCTAAAAGTATTGAAAATTGTGCTATGAGAAATAGTAAACAGTACTATGAATGTTGTCATATTTAGTATAAATAAATTGCAGAATATCATATGCATTTCGGAAACACTACTATATAAAATATGAAAAAATTGCATCAAACGTACCATTTTTCATTATTAACAATTGTAGCGGTTGCTATATATATTGTAAATTATGCAATGAAAAACGTGTATTGGTAACATGTGTAGAACAGTAGCACGTGAAAAATATTGTAATCTTTGCAATAACTATGCGAGTTCTTAATAAACTATGAATCCTTACCATAAATATAGCAGATATTATCATGTTAAATTAATGGAAATTTTAAACATAGCACGGGTAATTGAAAGAATTATTATATACATGATAAATTTCGATATACCCAATATTATATTACAATTATCTTCATTATAGTTTAAAAGTGCTAAAATTATTAAAAAATTTGTTATAAAATAAACTCTGGTAATTTTATTAATACATAAGAATTTATTTTACATTTAATTTTAGATTTATTTTACATTATAAAATCATTTACATTTTTTCACAATGTAGGTAACGTATTTCTTAAATTGAATATATTTATATTTATTATTTTTTTTCAGATTTTATACATTGTGCATATTGTTTTTTAAGATAGATGCACAGTTTATTTAAGATAGTTTAAATGTTTTTTAACATAGTTCACATACATATTAAATATTTTGTAATAAACAGTATAGTTTACATTATCATTTTACATATAACAAAAAAATTTGTTTTCAGATAAGCAATTCTTTTCTATGTTATCAAATTTTGAAGGATTTGTTTCATTTACATAATTAAATTTTTATTATTTTTGATATACATATATTACGAAAGATATACATATGTAAAAGCAAAACTATATTCACAAAATTTTCAAAAATTGATACTAAGTTTGTTAACGACTAATTGAAACATAAAAAAACTATTGTAACACATACTTTTCCGACTTAATTTTATGTAAATATGTATATGTAAATATTCATCGATTCTCAATAAAGCAAATTTTTCGGTATATTCAACCAATAAAAATCAATCAATAAAAATAGCTTCATTTTTATGAAAATATGAAACGTGTTTTAAAAATGTTTTGACATTTTTAAATTCTTTTGCCGAACATTTAAAGCAATCCATTATTTAAAAATTGTTTCAAATAAATAATATTTTAGTCGGATGTAAGTTCAAATTAATATTCTTGTTAATATTATTAAAAAGTTTGATGAAAAATTTTTTTTGGTAAAGCTTAAATAATACTGATATATTTTGAATTAGTTTAACTAGTAATAAGTTTAAATACAAATAATTGAACAATATGCTAAACAACCAATCAAATTTTGTATCAAAAAATTATTTGTAAATCATACTGCCAAGAGGAAAAAAAATAGTTGTTGACTTACGCAGCCAAGTTAAACATCAATGAATTAAGTCTGATGCATGTTTTATCATATTTCGTGGATATTGCGTACACAAACTTCTGCAAAAACATCCAAATAATTTCACAGTCCTGCTGATATTCTACATTTACTGCATGTATTATTTTGAAACAAACGTCAATGGCGGCTAATGGCCTATCCAATATATAAAGCACGTCATTCACAAATACGTAAAAACACTGAATATCATCTAGGTAAATAAAAAGATATTTGTATTAAAATATTTTTCTTAAAATATTGCTACAATATTTTTTTGGGAAAAATAAAAATAATGTTTTCACAAAACTTAATAATTTCGAAAAAAATAATATTGTGAATTCATTCAGTAATAATATGTTCTAATAATAATATTAATTGTTTAAATAAAAGATATTTAAAATCATAAATTTATTAATTAATACAAGAGATAAAGACTAAAACTTTCATATTAACAAAACTATTGTTTTTGCTTCTAATATCTTTTGAATTAATTAAACAAACCTCTTCTTATTACTTTTAGCTTTTTATAAAAATATTTTTCTTCAAAAATTTTCCAATGTTAAAATAGAAAAAAACAAGTACCTCATAAATGAAAAAAATAAAAAAACAAACTCACCTTTATTTATTTTTTAAATATTTAAAATAAGCTGTTGGAGTTTTACGGCAGGTACCCGAACCTGTCAAGCCATTTCATAAAAACTTCTAAAATATATGTGACTTATAATTGGACACATAAATGCTAAATTTTACGAACCTAACTTTATTATTTTTTTAAATATTTAAAATAAGCTGTTGGAGTTGTACGGCAGGTACCCGAACCTGTCAAGCCATTTCATAAAAACTTCTAGAATATATGTGACCTATAATTGGACACATAAATGCTAAATCTTACGAACCTAACTTTATTATTTTCTTAAATATTTAAAATAAGCTGTTGGAGTTGTACGGCAGGCACCCGAACCTGTCAAGCCATTTCATAAAAACTTCTAAAATATATGTGACTTATAATTGGACACATAAATGCTAAATTTTACGAACCTAACTTTATTATTTTTTTAAATATTTAAAATAAGCTGTTGGAGTTGTACGGCAGGTACCCGAACCTGTCAAGCCATTTCATAAAAACTTCTAGAATATATGTGACCTATAATTGGACACATAAATGCTAAATCTTACGAACCTAACTTTACTATTTTTTTAAATATTTAAAATAAGCTGTTGGAGTTGTACGGCAGGTACCCGAACCTGTCAAGCCATTTCATAAAAACTTCTAAAATATATGTGGCCTATAATTGGACACATAAATGCTAAATCTTACGAACCTAACTTTATTATTTTCTTAAATATTTAAAATAAGCTGTTGGAGTTGTACGGCAGGCACCCGAACCTGTCAAGCCATTTCATAAAAACTTCTAAAATATATGTGACTTATAATTGGACACATAAATGCTAAATTTTACGAACCTAACTTTATTATTTTTTTAAATATTTAAAATAAGCTGTTGGAGTTGTACGGCAGGTACCCGAACCTGTCAAGCCATTTCATAAAAACTTCTAGAATATATGTGACCTATAATTGGACACATAAATGCTAAATCTTACGAACCTAACTTTATTATTTTCTTAAATATTTAAAATAAGCTGTTGGAGTTGTACGGCAGGCACCCGAACCTGTCAAGCCATTTCATAAAAACTTCTAAAATATATGTGACTTATAATTGGACACATAAATGCTAAATTTTACGAACCTAACTTTATTATTTTTTTAAATATTTAAAATAAGCTGTTGGAGTTGTACGGCAGGTACCCGAACCTGTCAAGCCATTTCATAAAAACTTCTAGAATATATGTGACCTATAATTGGACACATAAATGCTAAATCTTACGAACCTAACTTTACTATTTTTTTAAATATTTAAAATAAGCTGTTGGAGTTGTACGGCAGGTACCCGAACCTGTCAAGCCATTTCATAAAAACTTCTAGAATATATGCGACCTATAACTAAACAACGAAAAATTTGGCGCTTAGCAAAATTATGTATGTAGAATTGTTTAAACATATGTCTATACCAAAAGTAATATACCCTTCACAAGGTTCAATAAATATTTTTTTAAAGTTTTTTAAAAAATCAAAAACAAAATAGTAATCTAAAAATGTTT